TATTATTTCGAGCAACGATTCATAATAGAAGTAGAATATCTGTCACTCGCATCTTTTGTCGTTAATCATTGTAGTTTGAAGGCAAATTCGATCAGTGTCTGTTACACACAAAAGATATAAGTGAAACTTGTGTATTTTTATTCTCGTCGACTTTATCCTCCTATTGAACAAATTATTAACGTTCATAACGACATTGAGAAGCTAAATTTTTGAATCAATATAACACAAAATATGATAAAAACAAAAATTCTTTCAACATATGTTGCAAACAGTGTAGTATTTACTGATGAGAGTGAAAAATAAGTTTAAACAAAGAATTTCTGACGAATTACCTATTTTCATCCCATTAATAAAAACCCTATATTTGTTTTTAAAATGCATAGCGATGATGATTCATTGAATTCTTATATATCTAAAGCAAGTTTAATGCTACAAAAGTGGCAACCGACAGGTCCTGTTTATTCTTGGCTACAAAAATTTGAGTCTGTAGCAGATTATATCGGAGTACCTGATAATAGATGGGGTGAATTCTTTTATTCAATGTTGGAATTTCCAGAAGATTTGAACATCACGAAAGAGGAATTTTCTGACAACTCTTTTAATAATTCATACGAAACGATAAAAATAAAGTTTCTTATTCGCTATGCTCACACTAATATTGCAAGACTAGCCAGAGATTCTTTTAAAGACCGAATGCAATATGAACACGAAACGATAGAAAAATATGCTGAAAGTTTAGAAAAACTACACAACGAGTGTTTTTATGTCCTACTAACTGGAGAAAGATTAAAACGTCAATTTGTAGACGGATTACGAGATGAAGACATACGTATTTCTCTCAAAAATACCAAAAACTTAACGTTCAATGAAGTGGTAAAAAAAGCCGTGGAAATGCGGGATATTTTAAAAAATGGTAAAAGTGGAACCTTATAAACGACAAGCTGACACACAAGAAACAAAAAAAAGGAAATTTTGATTTTTAATCAGTGTTTTTTTAAGTTGTCAAAATTTCATAAAGGTATATTTTTTATCTATATATTCTACAAAATGATGAAATATCCAGCAAACACAAAAATTATTAAAAAATTATGAAATTGCTGAATGAAATTTTTCAAAGCTAATTAGATCCGTTTAAAAAAATATTTTAATAATTGTTAATAGAAGAAACAACGTGAAACCAATTTTTTTAGTTTATTTGTAAATAGTAGTTCTGCAAGGTATTATTAATGCAAAGATTTTGATATGCATGTTATACTTTTAAGAAATAATATTTGTACCGGAAACATAAAAATTTGCAATTCAAATCAAACGTCTCAAAATGAAAAACCAAAAATTGTAATTGTTATTTAAAACAATAAGGATATTTATTTAAATTTTATTCTTAACGAAAAGATAATTTTCTTTTATATTTATTAAAGAACGGATCGAACCGGAAATCCTGTTCAGGTCTTTTTTAGTTGACAGAAATTGCGGTTCTGGTAATCAAGAAATACTTTTTAAGTTATTAACGAATTGTAAAAGAAATGTTTCTAAATATGACAAAGACGTAAATTTATAATCAAAAGGTAGCGTTGAGGAGACGATAAACAAACGCAAATCGATAACCGTTTACTTTAATCTAGTTTCCAATTTCTTATAATCAACATATCATTTATAATCGTTAATCAAAATAATAAATCAAACACGAGTTTATTATAGAAGTTTACGATTTGCTCTTCGTAACTTCTCTATAAAAGCTAATATTTGTAAATAAATTGTTAGTCTTTTGAAATACTGAAAGTTTTATGGGTTACTGAAATACTGGAAACATGGATCTTGTTATTATTTGTAGTAATTATGTCAACAGATTTATTTTTGAAATTTCTGACAATCTTGAATAAGAATTCAAAAAGTTGTACTTTGCTTATAACAAAATTTTTACAGGATTTAATTTGTAATC